TTTGGACCCGATTTCAAGTTACACATCAGTCCATCAAATATGACGAATCAAAACACCGCCGAATATTTGGAGAAAATTAAGTGAGTATTTGAATTGGTTTTAAAACTAGACATAAGTATTAATAAATTGGCTGAATGTCAGGACCCGGTTGTTTGAAAACCTACGAATGCTTCCGCACGCGCCGGGCGTTCAGATGCAACCCATTCCTGAAGACGCTATCGATCAGGAGAGCGAAGACGAGGACAAACAGGACGGCGACGAACGCATAAGTATCAGAGCGTCGGAGAAGCGAATCGCGAGAGACGACGAGTTCTCCGACAGTGAGGACGAGGGCGACGGCCGGCGCGACAATCGATCTCATAAACCAAAAGCTAAGAAGTCTAAAGTGGAAGCGAACAGCACTTCCGCTTCAAATGCCAACAATAATGAGACAAAAGACAAGAATAACGACGAGTCGAAGAAAAAAGACGAACCAATCGCCGACTCGACTGATAAGAAGCCGACCACTGCTGACACTCCGGCCGAAGTGGCGGAACCCGAACCACCGAAAGCAGGCGATGAAAAGTCCGAATCGACTAAAATGTATGATTTAAAGCGTTTTATTGCCTTAACATTGATATTAATGATTGAATGTGTTGTACATATAGTGAGTCTTCATCACCGAACTCGCAAACCGTTGGCCCAACGCCTGGACCTAAAGGTGATGTCGTAGAGAAAGAGAAGAAGACTTCGTCGTGATCTTAATGTTTGGTTATATTAATACAATTGACATACTTTTGAATCATTAATTAAAAGTTAGATTTAATTTTCATTATTTATTGCTTCAATACATTTGAAGCGATTTTTTTCTATACTATCATTCATTCAAATCATTTTCTAACTATAATTGCAATTAATATCGATTTTATTTAATATCAGATATTGTAATCAAATTTGTTTTTGACTTTAATTAATACTTAAGACTTGGTTTTTATTTCGTACATAATTGTAATGTTTGTGAAAATTCTATTTTGCATTTTTATTTATGATTTAGTGTTTACTTTAAACAATGCATTAATTGTGAAATTTTATTCTTAAATTAAAATCTTTCAAAAATATATTATTTGAATAATTAATTAAACCGATTGGTATCGTGTGATCAATAATTTCTATGCTATAAACAAAACGGTTTTATGCATTTGGTTCATAACAAATTGTTGGTTCAATTGGAAATTAAGTGGCCTAACAAGTGTCATCTGGTGCAGCTTAATTACTAAAATGGTATTATTTAAGATAATATTCTTAGGCACCAGAAACCAAGTTTCATAAAGGTACCCTCCCAATTGAATACATTATTTTGACGGGTGTTATATAAAATATTCCTGTGTCTTAACTATTGATGCGAATTTGATAAAACTTGGTTTTTGGTGCCTAAGAATGTTAACTTAAATAATGATACCATTTTAGTAATTAAGCTGCACCAGATAGCACTTAGGCCACTTAATTTCCATTTAAATCAATAGTTCACAATATAGCAATTAATATTGATTATGGTTTGATTCATAACATGGAGTAGTTTTTGACAGAATAAAAGTCTGATTGTATTTGCGGTAGTTTTTGAAAATGCGGGAAACTTACTTATGATTTCAACTAACATATAACGATATACTGTATTAATACTAGTGTTGTAAATTACATGTAATATAGATTTTTATATTACATATTACAGTCATATGACGTCATATAACGTCACATAGTAAAATTTTTATATTACACTTTACATGTCATATAACTGTAATGTAAAGTGTTATATGACGTCATATGACAGAACTCACAACACTAATTAATACATGTATTAAAAATTTGCATTTAGGAATATTAAGGTAAGTTATAGAAAAGGCCACTATTATTACAACTAAATATTTATTACAATATTACAATATTTAGAGATGATTTATATTTTGCAATTGAAATCATTTACTACTTGAAATATAGACTCAATTTTATTGTTAATTAATAATTAATAAAAGAAAACTAAATGAGAATAAAGTGAATGCATTTTCAAACAACTTATAGTCAATGCCATCACTTTTGGATTCGTATTATGCGAGTGAAGAGTAGGCATCAAATGGTGACAATTCTTGGCATTCATTTCTTTCATTTTGGCCACCGTTTCGATCGCTTACTGCCAACCAATCGGTGCATTCTTTTTGGTCATAAATATCGAAATATCTATAATTGAAATTTAATTCTTCATCGAAAGGCATTTTATCAAAACTTTCATTCATTTGCTTTTCAATGAATTCGCTATTTGTATCGAAACTGCTTTTGAGTTCTCTTTGGTAAACAAAATCAGAATCGATTCCAAGAAGTAATGAAATATCATTGAGAAGGTCTGCCGGAGTTGTCTTTAATTGACTCAAAATGCGATCCGATTTACATTTCTCGCTTTCATTTCGCTTCTCATTTATTGTCTGTTTTGTATTGAGTTTTCGTTGATTTACACGTTTAGCAGTCTTTGGGAACTGTTGTGAATCTAATCTATCGTTTCCTCTCATTGTTTTGGACGATGTCTTCATATGCG